TTAGGCCTCTGTAGCGCAGTGGTTAACGCGTTCGGCTGTTAACCGAAAGGTCGAGAGTTCGAGTCTCTCCAGGGGCGTACTGTTTTGCCAACTGCACTGCAACTGCTTTGCTGTTGAATTACAGTCCCTGCATATATGATACATGCTCATGCATATGCAATACACATTTTCAATGCATGCCTGGCTATTCATTATACCTAGGCACAGGGATCAGGTAATTCATATATCGCATTCGCTACCATCAAATCGTCTTCTGTTTTTATCCCGGATGGCAGAATCTTTTCAGAAACTCGAAAAAATCGGAGAAGGAACCTACGGAGTCGTCTATAAGGCGATCGAGCGGAACACACAGAGAATAGTTGCATTGAAGAAAATCAGGCTAGAAAACGAAAACGAAGGAATACCAGCCACCACAATAAGAGAAATCTTGCTTCTCAAAAACATAAAGCATTCCACAATTGTAGAGCTAAGCGATGTAATATACAACAACAACAAGATGTATCTTGTTTTCGAATATATGGAGCTTGACCTTAGAAGATACCTGGATAGACTGTGCGACGACGGCCGCTTTCCAGGCGACGAATTCATTAGGAAAATGTCCCAACAGCTTCTGACTGCAATGGAATATTGCCACTCAAGAAATATTTTCCATAGAGACCTTAAGCCTCAAAACATACTTGTTGATTCAAAGGGAAACATTAAGCTTGCAGATTTCGGCCTTGGCAGAGTTGCAGGAATCCCTTTGCGAACATACACAACTGAGGTGGTGACTCTTTGGTACAGACCTCCGGAATTACTCCTTGGCTGTAAATATTATGATGCTTCTGTTGATGTGTGGAGTGCTGCTTGCATAATGGCAGAAGTTGTTCTCATGAAACCTTTTTTCTCTGGGGACTCAGAAATAGATCAGCTCTTCAAGATATTCAAGATTCTTGGCACGCCCAGCAACTCAAAGTGGTCAAACGTTGAGAACTTTCCTAATTACAAGGCTGATTTTCCAATATGGAATCCAGTGGATCTAAAAACAATCTTCCAAGCATCTCAAGACTTTATCGATCTTATTTCTCAAATGTTTGAATACGATCCAAGAGCAAGAATGTCAGCAAAAGCTGGATTATCTCATAGATATTTCAAAAACATGTCTCCAATCCTAGAATAAATCTTTTTAAGATATTCTTAATATTATAGTAATTTATTAATAACTGGCTATTCATAGCATAACAAAATCGCACATACATACGCTTTGTTGGCTTACATGCACATATGCTTTTGTAGATAAATTACTATTAACTCTTGCTTAATCAATCAGAATACTGACTATCATCATCATAACTATAGATAACAAAAATGCAACAATCCCAAGACAGATGCTGGCGATTGACATAATAAATACAACGAATGCTATCAAGTTTAAAGGTTCATGCAGCATCGCAAAAAGAAACAGAGAAATCACACCCGTAATGATTGATACTCCTATCACTTTAGCAATCTTTATTAGCATTTTTTTTCTTTTGTGTGTAAAAAATCCACTTTCTCTGTTCTCGTTCATTTAATGCCCTTCGTACTTCTCAAATATACAAATCATAAGTACTTGCAATATATACATATCAGTGCAGCATTATCACAGCACCTATCGCAAGCATCACTGTGCCTCCTCAATAACCCATATCCAAATATTTGAATTTAATATCAATCATACCACATCGATTGCCACTTCTTCAGTATGCATCTGCCTCCACATGCTTCAGCTCTTTGTTCAGCCACTCAAACGCTTCAACAATCCTCCTCCGGTTATCTTCGTTCGCCACTGAGTTTGCCTCGTACACACTGATCGGCACCACACACGACGCTCCAGAATACTCCTTCAGCTCAAGCGCATTGTATATGCTGCTCACCGCCATCTTCCTGCCTTCCTCCGTCTTTATCAGATCAATCTTGTTTGCAAACACCAGCACCGGCGGCATGCTGCTCCTCTCCAGCCCCTTCAGTATCTCCCACAGCCCCTCCTTTGCGCTGGTAAACCTCATCGTGTCCACTGCATCAACCATGTACACAATCCCAGACTTATCCTTCACATAATCCTTCCAGAACCTCCTGAACGTGCTCTGCCCTCCAATGTCCCACACCACAAACTTCAGGCTTCCTACATTCACCACCTCGCAGTTGAATCCAAGCGTGGGCACCGTCGTATGCACCTCTCCCGTTTGCAGATAGAACAGCAGTGTCGTCTTCCCTGCTCCATCCAGCCCAATCATCGCCAGCGACTGCTCCTTGTCTCCAGAAAATAGGCTCCGCAGCCTGTCGTGCAGCACACTGTTGATCTTAGACAATGCATTCCCCATCGTTTTGTTTACCCCTTTGCTCGTTTTTTTTATGCAAATGTTTCAACCACATCTCGTCTAGATTGCACTCACAATGCAATAATGCGCAAGAATACATCACACGACAGCAAATGCATCAACCGTGATCCATGCACATCTGTACTTGTTATATCTCCATCGCAGATACGCCACGCCTTCTAATCATAAGCATACGCTGTACACATGCTGGATTCATGCACATCGCCACTATCCATGCCAACATCAAACAAGCCCAACACATATTTTCGGCTTGAAACAGCACACATATAAATTGCTTACCACTTGCACATGCAATGAGACACACTGCCTATGCATTCATGTGGCTTGCGCTGGCTGCTTCCGTCGCATGCAGCGTAATCAAGCTTGTGCCGTCGAATGCTGTGCATCTAAAAGGCAGGCCTTTGGCAACATACTTCTCGGCTGTCAAGGTAGTTCCTGTGCCAGGCAACACATTGCTCCAGACTGCATTGACCGGTGTACAGCCTACATCGAGCACAGTGGCTGTTGTCAGTGGCATTCCACGCCCTGCATCTCCAGTGGCAGTGGCAGTCAATCAGATGCCGCTGGGTGTTTCTAATGCACAAACAGCCACTTCCAGCACACAGAGCCACGCTGTTCAATCTCCCGCCTTGCACATAAATGCACAGCCTGTAGCAGTAGCACAGCATGTGATAGCAACGCAGCCAGTGCAACGCATCCAACCAGCAGCAATGATCCGACCATCGAATGCACCTGCACTGGTTGCTCTGCCATCTGTACAACACATGCAGCCTGTATCAGTAGCACAGCCTGTAGTAGTAACACAGCCTTCTCATAAATCGCAACAACCCATTCTGCAGCTTGCTGTTCGGCCACATGCACAACCACAGACGGCATACACTGCACATGCTGGCCAGAATGCCAGGATGCTTATGGGTCCGATCAGAGTGGCCGTCGACCCTATTTCGCTAGTTCCCGTGGTGAATGCATTCGATATGGTCAAGGCGATAAGCAGAAGCATTGATGCAATCTGCAGCATGCTCAAGACAATCAGCACTAGAAGGCCACAATTGAGCACACAACCACAATACTTGGCATCGATTGCGCCAAGCACTACATATGCACAGCCTGCAATCATAACTGTGACAAAAACAATCTCGTTGGTTCCTGCACAGCCCCAAACACTCGTGCCTGCATATACAGCTTCCGTAGTACAGCCATCTACCGTTGTCAGATATGTTGCACAGCCTGCAAGCATTGAGCCAAAGGTACTGCAGGGATGGATCACACACAAGGCAGTCTGCAACATTGCAGTTGCAAGGTGCATTCTTGAGAGCGGAAAGCACACAGACGAGCAGAACGGCGGCCAAGCAGATGATGCAACGCAGCAGTACACAGCAAAGCCCGATGCACAAAAAGGAATCAGTCAAGACGTTGCAAATGCTGAAACAAGCGTTCCGAAAAACACTCAAGACAATGTGAGCAATCCAAATGAACAGAACAATGAGGAATCATCGGATTCTTCCTCTATGTCGTCCTCAGAATCATCAGATATGTGTTTGGACGACTGCACACAGGCAAAGCCAAAGCCTCCGTATGTTTTAAAAGGCAGTGAGGATGGTCAGGCAGATGATCAGGGCCAATACGAGCAATCTCCAAGCATAAGCAGTGCACTTTCATACAACAACATGGACACTGGCGAAGAGCAGGACCAGATTGTCTATCTAAGCGATCTAATCTAATGCATAATGATCCATGAACACACGAATACATGATGTTGATGTATCAGCAATCATAATCAGCAATAAGCCTCTGTGTAGCCATGCAGTATATTAATGCATCGTGATAACAAGCCATATTTACACATCGTAAGTGTAATTCCATATGCCGCTGCATTATGCTAGCAGTGAGACATTCATAGTAACTGTGCCATCATCATTTCATATCCTCCCTCCCATATCTACTTAGCTTTTCTCAGTGCATGCAATCAAACGATTACCAGAACACATCCATATACAGGCAATACCTGATGTTAATAAAACCTATTCTATTTATTTTCAAGTGCAGCGTCTCGTTCTCACATCCCATCGAAGAACGGATGCCTCAACGCATCAGATGAACTAATCCTCGTCGTTGCATACAGATCAAGCATCCTGTACAGAAGATCATATCCGTCGCTCCCAACCTCTGGCCATGGATTCAGACACTCAATTATTGTCTCAAACCGCACCCGCTCCTCAGGTATTGTCTCCACATTCGACCTCCATGTCCTTCCATAGAACCTTGCTGCCTTCCGCATCTCTCCATGCCCATATATCGTTGCCAGCTCCACCATCGAATCAATGTCGTCGCTCGAGTAGAAAAACGGATACTGCCCACTCAGCATAGTCAGAAACACCACCCCTGCAGACCACATGTCTATTGCTCTCGTCTGCTGCCCATACCGGAACAGCACCTCTGGCGCACGGAACCCACGTGTCCCTGCCCTTGCCGCCTTCATCTGCGGTCTGCTGTCTCCCTCGTAGCATCCAGGCGGCCTTGCCTTCGAAACCACCGTGTGGAAAAATAGCTGCGGAGCCTGTGTCTTCTTCTGCTCCTCGGCCCTGATCTTGCTCTTCTGCTCCTCGTGCTGTGCTAATCCAAAGTCTATCAGCATCCCCTTCCCAGTATCCCTGTTGTACAGAAAGTTGCTGGGCTTCAGGTCCCTGTGTATGATGTTGTTGCTGTGCACATGCTCTATTGCCACCAGCAGATTGTACATGTACCTCTTGATATCCATGATGCTGGCGCTAGAGATGAACTCCCTGAAATCGATCGACTCGAAGTACGGCGACACAGCAACAACCTGGTCCTCTTGTCTGAAGCACCCGAGCAGCCCCATGCAGTTTTTCTTTCCGCCAAGCGCCTTCAGGAACATCAACTCCTCAAGAATGCGTGCTGGTGAGCTTGTTTTTGTTATTGCCTTGATTGCAACATGCCTGCCCGACTCTGTGTCGAGCGCCTTGTACACAACACTGAACGAGCCCTCCCCGACCTTTTCAATCGGCGTGTATTTCTGTGCAATGAACATGATGTGCCTGATGTCGGCAGCAGGGATCTGTTCGTATGCCATGCACCCTTTGCTGATTTTTGATTTAATCTGGAGCATTTATGCACACTCACGTAATGAATGCATGCATCATACACTGCATATTCATGGGTATGTACTGCACTGGCGTACTGTATTGCACATGCAAGTGCATACTTTAATGCAGCCTTCATCACAATCCATCTATTGCACAATCATCCATTGGTGCATACGTGCAATACCGCCTTGCATCTTTGCATCTGTATATATCCACACATAATGGTACATAAATAATGCAGCACTGCCCTTTCAATGCATGCAGAATCAGTGCCAGAAGGCACATTCATAAGGTACAAACAAATCGAACGGAAGCTCAGAATGCTCGAGATCAGAGAGGCATATGTGCGCAAGGAGATAGAAACACTCAAGCGAGAGGAGCGGCACAGCAAGGACGAGCTCTGCAGAGTAAAGAGCGTACCGTTGATCATGGGGCAGTTCTTGGAGCCAATTGATGCAAACACAGCAATAGTTGGCTCGACGGCAGGAAGTAACTTTGTCGTGAAGATCTTGTCGACAGTCGACAGGGAACTGCTCAAGCCAAACACAACGGTTGCGCTGCACAGGCACTCAAGCGCAATCGTGGATGTGCTTCCACCCGAGGTCGATAGCACGATTCCTGTGCTGGGAGATGACGAGAAGCCTGATGTGACATATGCAGATGTGGGGGGGCTTGATGTGCAGAAGCAGGAAATCAGGGAGACGGTGGAGCTTCCGCTGCTGCAGTTTGATCTGTACAGGCAGATAGGAATAGATCCGCCGCAGGGGGTGTTACTGTACGGGCCGCCGGGCACGGGAAAGACGATGCTTGTGAAGGCGGTTGCGAACCACACGAAGGCAACGTTTATCAGGGTCAACGGGTCTGAGTTTGTGCAGAAGTATCTTGGCGAGGGTCCTCGAATGGTCAGGGATGTGTTCAGGCTTGCGCGGGAAAGGGCGCCGTCGATAGTGTTTATTGATGAGGTTGATTCGATTGCAACGAAGAGGTTTGATGCATCGACGTCTGCAGACAGGGAGGTGCAGAGGGTGCTGATTGAGCTGCTGAACCAGATGGATGGATTTGACCAGTCAACAAATGTGAAGGTGATAATGGCAACGAACAGGGCGGACACTATTGATCCGGCGCTACTGAGGCCTGGACGACTGGACAGGAAGATTGAGTTTCCGTATCCGGACAGGAGGCAGAAGAGGCTGGTGCTAAATGCAATTACGTCGAAGATGAGCATTGGAGAGGATGTTGACATTGAAAGTCTTGTGCATCGGCCTGAAAGGATCAGCAGTGCAGACATCAACTCAGTGTGTCAGGAGGCAGGGATGCTTGCGGTGCGTGGAAGCAGGTATGTGGTGATGCAGAAGGACTTTGAGGAGGCGTACTCGAAGGTTGTGGAGAGGGGAGAAACGCAGCCTGCTCTCTACAGCTGAGTGGTGCACGTGCTTGGGAAGGCGGTGGGAACTGTGTGTGTTGCATACGTGATGCATGGCGAGTACATGACGTCACGCACAAAAGATGTGGATGTTTGTGCTAATAAAATCTTTTTTGGATTTGTAACCCATATGGCGACGGCATTATCTGTACCTACGTGTGGATATGCTGAGGATATGAAACCTTTAGCGATTTTGGTGATCCGGCTATTTGAATGGATTCGTGTTACGCTGGACCATATGAAAAACCCGATTAATATACCTATGCATGTACCGTTAATCAATCGTCAGTATATGGCCGACATATACAATGAAAAGGGAGCAGAGGAATGTTTTTTGAATCATGTTTTGAAAGTGGGATGTGTTGAGGAAGCACGCAAGGTAATTCTTAGTACCTCTAAGAGAATGGATAAGGTAAATTTTATATTTGTGACTGCAATTTACAAAGCAAATAAAGGGTGTATGAATGCAGATATTGGAAAGTATGCAGAGATATTGACTCTTTTTGATACTTACATGTCGAATATAGAGCAATCTTGCTATTCACAGTATGAGTATAATTTGAACTACCGGCTTATGTACGACCTTATTAGCGATTTGAAAAGGAAGTTTTGCAACAGTATGCAAAGCAATCTTAAGACGAATATAAAGGTTGCATTATCTAACGTTAATATTGTTTTTGCTAAGGGCGAGTTTGACTTAGAAAGACTTATTAGCATAGCGCCGTATTCTGAAAGGTTTTACTTGGTAAACAGAAATGATTTTGAGAACAATTTATACAATGTGTCGTATAAAATAGTCACTGATATAATTAATTTTTCGCCATGGAATAACCATATGCCTGATTCTAGGTTTCCGCTTTTGAGACTTTATCTTATTGTTTCGTTGCTGAAGTATGCAACATACTATTAGCGGATTGAAAGCAAGACTGAAAAGTCTCTCGAAAGGTTTAATAAACGACTCCGTTTGATTTGAAGATTTTGGAAGACCTGGGGTAGCACGATGGATGAACTGAGAATGCGAATAGACGAGCTGCTGAAGGAAGTGGCAAGGCTGGAATGTGAGATGACAGAGAAGAATGAGAATATCAAGAAAAGTAGGGTCTTGAATATGGATCTAAGAGAAGAGATATTGAGAAAAAGCAAGGAAGTAGATGATTTGAACGAATTGGCAGCAGACATGAAGAAACAGATGGAAAGCAATGGCAGAAGATCCATGAAGCTGGAACGAATGATTAGAGCGGAGTGCAGGCGTAAGGAGTTGGTTAATGAAAAGATACTTGGCAGTGCGAAGAGCAGGGGAGAATACTATATCAGTCTTGAGATGAAGAAGATCAATGAGAGGTATGAGGTTATGAGGAGGTTTGTTTTTGCGATTTCTGAAAGATTTGGATTTGATTTTGAGATGTTTGGCGAGCTAGTAAAGATTGCAGAAGAAATAGATGATCCTGTTATTGCTGCATTTCTAGAAAGTATTATGCCAAATGGATATGCAAGGCTGAATGAAAATACTAGATGATGCTGAATATAAATAGTGGATATGAAGAGCACTGCTTATGTGTTTGAACTAGTGGTTTAGATTTGGCATTTGTAATGCAAAGAAGTATGGCATGTGCGTTGGATTGTGGGTAAATTACTGTAAGTTGAAGAAAAAAATTGCTTAGGGATGACCCTTGTTGAATGGCTACTCAGAAGGTTTTGGATCCGGATACGAAATATATTAAGCTGAGAGTGATTGGTGGGGAGCTTCCAGGAGCAACGCTTGCACAGAAGGTTGGGCCTCTTGGGTTGTCATCGAAAGTTGTTGGAGAAGATATCAAGAAAGCAACATCTGATTACAAGAGTCTAAGGGTGCATGTTGAACTTGCAATAAAGGACAGGAAGGCTACGGTTGAGATTCAGCCTAGTGTTTCCACATTGGTAATCAAGGCGTTGAAAGAAGCACCACGTGACAGGAAGAAGGAGAAGAATATTTTGCATTCAGGAAGCATCAAGATGATTGAGGTTGTTGAGATAGCAAGGCTTGCGAAGTCTACAAGGTCTTTTTCAAGGACGCTTTCTGGAGCAGTCAAGGAGGTTCTCGGAACATGCAAGGCGATTGGATGCAAAGTTGATGGGAGATGCCCGAAGGAGGTTATTCATGAGATTAATACTGGTGATATTAAATTGCCTGATCAATAAACGTTTATTATGGGCAGTTGGTGTGTAATGTGCATGAATGTTATGTAAAACGCATGTGTTTTGAGTTTTGAATCAAATTGATGTCGATTTGACGATTCTGAAACGTTAAAGCATATAAATCATGCTTTGTGGCTGAGATTATGAAGCTAGTTATTTTTTGCCTAATTCAAATGGTGATGGGGTTGAATGCTGGAGAAAGGGTGATTAAGATAATTTCTAGGAGCAATCCGAACATGATTCTATCGACAAAGCATTCAGAGGCTGAAGGAGACAGTGTCTTGCTGATTGATTTCAAGAAGAATAAAGGAGCTAAGAAAGCAAGCGAGTCGAACTTCACCATTACGAGTGAGAAGCATGAAATAACGCAAGGCAAAATCAATTTGTGTAAAGATGAGTTCAACAACAATATTAAGGCATGTGTTATAAGCGAGGGGCCGCATGCAAATTCCAAATGGAATTTATTTTCTGAGAATGGAGGCGTAAAGATAAAGAACGATCATAACTTGTGCATGATGCCAGACCCCAGCCAGCTAAGGCCTGAAGGAATGGCTATTGTTGCAAACAAGTGTCTGCCTGAATCGATAGATCAGATTTTTGATATAAGTGATGTTAAAAGTGAGGACAGCCAGGACAGTGACGGAACGGAAGAGAATGTGGATCACAAGGGAGATGCGCCTATGGGAAGCATGCTTGAATATATACTCAGCCTGTCACCACAGATACGAAGCCAACTGAAGTCGCGCCTGATTTTATATGATGGGGAAGGAAAGAAGATTAAGTCGTTTGCTGGAAGTGTGGAGTCACTGACGAATATCGATCCAAGCCTAGGGTTGTTTCCGCACATGATTCATGGATCGGTACCATACCAAAGCCCGAAATCACTGGATCAGTATAAAAGCAATAGATATATCGCTATTTCACCAACATATTCTCACAATGGAAGCTATGCATAATGATTAAAGCTGTTTGTTTTTATGATTGCTTGTTGTTCTAGTGCAATGGGTTTTGTTAACGATGCGTTTGGAATGGATGAATCGATTGTAGTATGCATTATGAAACCTGATGTTTGACTTGATGTTTTGAGATAAAGAAGCGTTTGTTGTATGATTTGTAATGCTGTTGCTATTGATGGCTATACTTTTTGAGCTGGTATATGGTACTTACACTAATCAAGACAGATTATCATCTGATGCAATGCTAGTTGAGATTGTAGCACATTCCAAGGATTTCTATTTTTCGATATTTGGCAATGGATTCAGAATATCTACTCAAGATACAATTAAAAAAAATGGCGGATGCTCAAAGTTTGTGGTTTATAGAGGCAATACGGCAATTATACAGGGCAAAAAGCGTCTATGCAAAAGCAAAACAACAGCTGGTGTTGATGTATGCGGTACTATGAATGCAAATACTTGGAGGGTGCTGAGGTATAAAGGCAAAGAGTATGTCAAGTTCAAATACCCGAATGAAAACAAATGCATCACAGCAACCAAGATGTCCGATGTCAACGGTAGAAAGGCCAATATTCAGGAGTGTATTGATGATTCTGGAATTGGAGATATAAGCCAAAGGTTCGTGATTAACCGCTTGTACTAGAATTTTGATCCTGATTCAGTACAATATAATATGCGCAATAGAAAGGGCGAATAATGAATTTGACAAATACTGGTAGGATAAGCCAAGTAACAGTGTTTGCTGAGTATTCAGAATTCTATATATTTAATAAACCCACTTGTTTGAAATAAATAACATTATCGAGGCATGCAGCATGCAAAACGATGTGATTCGCTTCAGCAATGAAGACGTCGATTTGGAGAATTTTGCATCTTTGAATCTTGGATACATAAAAATATACATGAATGCATCCAAGGACGGTAAACATACAGAGATATCTCTTTCTAAGGAAGACGGTGACTTCTTGTACATAGTTACGAATGTTTATAATGCGAATTATTGCGAATATTTCAAACAGACTCCTGCATCCAATGCAGTGAATCGTGTTGAAGAATGTAGCGAAATCAAGTCAAGCAATCCAAAGAAGATGAAACAATCCACGCTTTTTGATTTTATGAAAAAGTAAATACGAAATGGTATGGACAAGGAGAAGACATATAATGTTTACTTGAATACTCTATTTACTGATTTTTACTTATCGTGTTGTAGATGGCAGAAATTAATCTCAAGCATATGCAAAGCCTAGATGAGTTTACTGTCTAGTTTAGCCATAATATGGATTGGGATAGGCATTATTTCTTTCTTGCTCTAGGGCGTCCGGGATGAATTTAACAATCATAAACATTAAACGGCAATATATAATTATAATGGCAATATTAGTTATGATTTGAAAATTATTAGTGGCCTGCATGCTTGAAGTCATTAACCGGATTATATTTTCGACTAAAATTAAAATAAATGAGAGATCGTTATCATCCTTATCCTGATTTAGTTTCTTAAATATAAATTTCAATAAAATATGTACGTACCAGATGATTGCTGCAACATTCATACAAATGCAGAGCCAATCATCATTAATAAAACTGTTATAAATTTCCAATGTAGCAACTAAAACCAACACAGCTATAATGGGTAGTATGAATTTACGTTCTTGAATCGAGTCCCTATCAAGTAATTGCCACACGCATACCAAACATATCAACAACGGCCACAAAACCGTTCTCACAACAATTAAAGCACGGATGCTGTTATTTTCATTCTTTTCGATGTTCTTTGCTTTATTTTGTGGCATTCGTCCAAGGATATTTAACACTTATAATTTATATATGCACTTCTTAATATAGAAAAATATAATAGCCAATAAGAAAATACATAATATACTGAACTGTGTATTATTAGCATATTCTTCATATGCCAGTAGTTGCCATTCAATATCATGTCTCTTTCATCGTTACCTCAATACTTCTCTAGATATAACTGAATTGTCACATCAGTTATATGATGCGAATCTAGTGGCCAAAAACTGCTCTAATGCTTTAAATTGGCCAGGTGATTGCGTTTTAAATATTTCAAAAAGATTGCATACGTCCTTAGATGAAAACCATCTTTACTTTTATGCTCACGAAATTTGTACTTTTAGCTCATCATCTTCTCCATTTCAAATTAAATTAGTTTATACTTCTATTAGTATACTCTTATTATACAAGCATGTGCATTATTACCTAAATCATTTATATAGCTATTTATTTTTATCTACGCCAATTTTTCAAACGAATTTTCTTACATGAATCAAACAATTCTTTCTTGACAAACATAAGTAGTGCCAAAACAATCAATAGAAGCACAAGCACAAGCATAAAATACTGTACATGCACATGCATGTGTGTTATTGCTAGCGAATTTATCAGCCCAACTATATTCGCAAAGAAGATAAGTATTCCAGGAAATATAATAAGTCTGGGTACATCATCAATAAACACATACCAACTGGTCCATAATATGAACACCAGCATATTTATGTTATACAGTCTATATACCCACTTCCTCACCCCCCCTGGCCTGTGCTTATATTCAAGCTCTAGAATTTCATCCTCCCCACTCAACCATTCCTTTATTCCAATCAGCCATGGTATAGCATACAACAGAATAACAATCACTTCAGCTACATAAATTTTTGCGTTGAGTTCATTAGTATCACACATAAGCATTATAAAAAGTGCCAATATTGTGCTACTGCCAATCATTTTATACCTGTGGTAGCTGATGAACTTCTCAGGCCGATTTTCTACCTCGTTATATAATTATAACTCTTTTGAATTTCTATTGATTGCAGTCTCATCTACGCATGGTGGCAGAGACAATGCCATTACTAGGGCTGCTCCATATTCTATTGATATTATGCGCACTGCAAACATATTCATCATCCATTTATGCTAATCCTTGCATATTCTTATTTGCGCAATTTCTACTTCCACCATACACAGACCGCACTGCACATATTGTGCATCAATATCCATCTGCTGCTCATTCATTCACAATACGTTTACAATACATTCATTCACAACACATTTATTTATTTATACACTCAACATTTTCCACACACTACTCTCATTATCAACTTCCATATGCTGCACATGGACTTCACTCGAAGACATGAGCTTGTTTTTATCTTCTATCGTTTGGCTTATCATGCTGTTATACATCGATGCCAGTATAAGCAGTATCAATAGCACTAATGGGGATACATTAGTATTATTATTCAGCATATTGCTTTTGGAATTGTTTATCAGCGTTATAAGATATGGTAATGCTTTGATAGCCTGTTTAACTTCTTTATCACCTTCTTTGCTCAAATCATAATCCTTAACAGTCTGCTCTTTGCATACCTTTTCCACAACAATGTATATCATCCTCTCCCATTCATAAAACTTCATTTTATTCAGCATCTCATTCATAAACTTGCTTGGATCACTTGTACTATTATTCTCATATTCAGATCGATTAGCACACTCATTATGCCTCACTGCTTCGTATATTTCAAGAATAATTGTATTAGCAATAGGCAACATTCTAATACTTTCCATCAAGTTTATGAGTATATTCTTTTTGATCTCGTTGCAAAGCATTACTACTTGATCATATAATTCCTTGTATTCCCATTTTAGACCCTCTGCTTTACTCATCATTCCATCCATCACGCTTACCAATTCATACAGGCATTCAATACTGTAGTCATCCATTTTACGTGTGCCTAGTATCACATTGCATACCATTTCACACAGGTTTTTATTCATACGCTCTTCCATTCCCGGAATCTTTCTTTTTATTGTTTCAATTATCTCTATGATATCCTCCCGTGTTTCAAACACTCTATCCAATTCATTTGTCTGGGCATCATGACCATTATCATTGCTAATAAGCATCTTCAATGCATTACTATCTATCAATCCTTTGGTTACAATCAGATCAAAAAGTATTTTTAGAATACGCATCGCTTCTTTTGTATATGCTTTATGCTTTTCTAACTCTTCATAATTACTACTATCTAAAATCTGAGGTATATTATCTAAATCACATCTATTCAAGATGTCTCTAGGAGATTCTCTGCGTATTAGTTGTGCTAAGATCGCATACTTTATTTTATCAACTAGTTTTTTACTATTAATTACTTTCAGTATTTCATTCTGCTCCTCCTCCGGCTTATCTATCAACTCATTAAAAATACTATCATTGATCACAAACTCAACTAGCAAGGTTTCGATATACTCCTCGGTAGCCTCAAGTGACACAATAATATTGAACAGTCTGCTAAGCTTACCAACTTCATCAGCTATATTCAATATCCTTGGAATTGATACTTCCCAATATTCAATAAGATTAGCAATCATGCTTTTCAAGCCATTATCATCAATGCTCAGCAATATATTCGCTACATACTTATACCCATGTTGTATTGATATCTCTCTAATCATAACTGTTGCTTGGCATCTGCCTTTAACCCCAAGCAGCATATCTGCTATTTCGTTATACTCAAGCGATGCTTTCAGTACTTTCATCAGCTCATTAAATCTACCTATAGTATAATATGTCGAACCTTTGTTCTTAAAAATATCACTCAACAATCTATTCCTCCGTTTATCTTCAATTGCACTAAATATCCTTCTCACATCATCGTTCCTTCTTTCTTCATTCCCATAATTCTTCTTAGTGCCAACATAGATCAAGGCATCAATTTCGTGTTTATGACCCAGCTGTTTCAACACCAACTTTCTTTCGTCGTCACTCATACTCATATCCAGCAACAAGTCATACACATCGCCAACTCCATACACTCGCCATACTTTGTCTATTCTCTGTTGCACATCGAGATATCCTGTATTTGCATCAGTAGGCTCAGACTTACGCACTGCCACCGACTTGCTTAGTTTAATCAAAAACAATTTCTTCTCATTATACTCCAT